ACAATCGGAAGCTGAAGACTCAGACGAGTCACAGGGACGTTAGGAAGTATTTTTTCCCAGTCATAGGGTCGTCGGGAAAAGTGGAATAGCCTAGCAAGTGAAGTAGTGGAGGCAGGAACCATACATAGTTTTAAGAAGAGGTATGACAAAGCTCAGGAAGCAGAGAGGGAGAGGACCTAGTAGCGACCAGTGAAGAGGCGGGGCCAGGAGCTGAGTCTCGACCCCTGCAACCACAATTAGGTGAGTACAATTAGGTGAGTAACACACACACAAACACACAGCGTTCCGATACCTTAGTAAGGAATCGTTCAAGACACTGTACCCCGTGTACATCAGGCCCATACTGGAGTATGCAGCACCTGTTTGGAACCCGCACTTGACCCAAGCACTTCAAGAAATTAGGGGAAAGTGCAAAGGTTTGCGACAAGGTTAGTTCCAGAGCTAAGGGGAATGTCCTATGAAGAAAGGTTAAGGGAAATCGGCCTGACGACATTGGAGGACAGGGAGGTCAGGGGAGACATGATTAACGACTTATAAAATACTGCGTGGAATAGACAAGGTGGACAAAGAAGGATGTTCCAGGAGAGAGACACAGAAACAAGAGGTCACACTTGGAAGCTGAGAGTCAGATGAGTCAAAGGGATGTTAGGAAGTATTTCTTTAGTCATAGAGTTGTCAGGCAGTGGAATAGCCTAGAAAAGTGACGTAGTGGAGGGGGGGGAACGATAGATATTTTTAAGCGAGGTTTGATAAAGCTCATAGAGCAGGGAGAGAGAGGACCCATTTAGCAACCAGTGAAGAGGCGGGGCCAGGAGCTAAGACTCGACCCTTGAAACTGAAATAGGTGACTACAAATAGGTGAGTACACACACACACACACACACACATACACACACAACATAAACATGCACACACACACATAAACATGCACACACACGCACACCTCTTCCTCTCTCCCCCCTTGCCTTTCCCTCTCTTCCTTTTCCCCCTCTCTCCCCTTTACTCCCATATCCTTCCCCATCTCTCTTCCTCTGCCACTGTCTCCCCCTCTCACTGTCTCCTACTATTCCTCCCCCTTTCTCCCTTCCTCCAAAAAACCCCTCCACACGCCTACACAAAAAAATGGGTTGCCAAAGAGCATGATGGAGAACCAAGAGACTGCTTGATGACCCTGGAAGGGAAGATTGGGAGGAAGGATTGAAAAGGAAGGAAGAGTGGGGAAGGAAGCTAGAAGAGCATAGCAGGAAAAATGGTGGAGAGGAAAAGCTGCAGAGAGCAGGAAATGTGGAGCTACAAGCCACGGCAACAGAAGCTAAGATACAAAGCTTAGAAGGGAAACTAAAAAAGATGAAACAGCTCAAAGATCTCAAAGATCTAAAGAGCAATACAGGCTTTGACACTGGGAACGCCACATCGGTCACAAATGAGGGGACTGTAGAGAACAAAGGAGTAATCTTTATGCAAAGGCACTATCAGACCACCTTGGAGTCCGGGAAAAAGACGAGGAGCACACCAATAACAGACGAGGGGGACTGAAGGGAAATGAAAAAGCTAAGCTGTATGAGAGGCCCTAATAGACCACAGCAGTGCCCAGGAAAAGCTGAGAAGGGAAAATGGCAGACCACTGAGCACAGGGACATCAGACAGAGAAGAGATTGAGGGATGAAATGTTGCAATGGGGGCAACTAAATCGACTCAGGGGATGAAAGGGGGAAAATGCAGTGGGATAATGAAAGGGAGAGGTCGGTCTTTGTTTAGGGCCTGAGGAAGTTGAAGGGGGAAACTTATGAAGCAAGAAGACAGGGAGAAAAAAGTGATTGAAAGTTTTCCATAAAAATCAATAGGAGAGGACGTTTATGACCCAATTGGCAAATTATCTGAGTAAAGAGGGTATGCAAGTGGAAAAAAAAACGACCAGTCAAAGTGATCTTCAAGGAAGAATCGGCTCAAAACAGGATCCTGCAGGGGGAAAGCACGATTAAAACTTAATCTGGATTGCCTGGGAAAGGAAGCAGAAGTGTGTATATGTGGCCTTGGGTTTCCTCAAAGTTCGGTACCAGGACCGGTACTCATACTGGTGTACGTGAATGAAATGCTTGAAGAGCGAGATTTCAGGTGTGACTTTAAAGAGAGTAAATGCAGAACAAAATAGAAAGCTAAGAATGGACCTGGCTGTTCTATGAGATTGATCTGACAAGTCGTTATTGGAGTTCAGTCAAAGAGAGTGCAAGATAAAAAAAAATTTGAAAGAGCAAAGTATTGGGAGACAAAGGCTGTAAACCTCATTCAAGGAGAAGGATCTCAAGATGAGCATAATCCCAAAGCATATCACCTGAGAATCACATCAACAGAAATAAATATTGGGGCTTATTTAAGATCAGTTTCCAACGACAAGCCCTGTCGGCTCTGTATATGACATATGTCATACCAACTTAAAATGTGCAGAGGCTTGCTTCAATGCTAGTCTTAAGTGCACAAAATAATCAGATAAACAGATAGGGTAGATAAAGACAGCCTGTTTGAGAGGCAAGAGACAGGTAAACGGGGAAAACAATTTTACGTTAGCACGAGTTCTTCTGTTTCAAGGTAGTCATGAAGGTAGATTGAACGCAGAACGAAAAGTTAGGACACAGATTCCATCCCACAGCTTTAAAAGTTAGGTATAATAACGCTCAACAAGACTTGCTATTCTTATTCACAGGCTGTGGGATCAGAAACGGAATACCATATTCTGAAACGATTGTGTTAAAAAATGGTGAGTGGTTTTCCGAATTTGTTCGAGTCACTAAAAACATACTTGGACAGAATTTAAGTTATTTCATCTATACCAGCGTATAAAATTGCTACAGCTAATGAGTTTTAGCCACCCTTATCAGAGATATGAGTGTTTTTAAAAGCAAACATTTTATCAGTTGGAAATATAGGTAATACAGCAGACAGAATATTCTTACACTCAATAAAGAACGTGTTGGTAGATATCACCAAGTTGCTCACAGCTGTCCACTGTTGCCAGATCTGAGGTGTACTGGGGAGTTGCTGAGGCTCCTGCAGTAGTCTCTGGCAGTAGTCCTGAAGACAGTGAAATCAGAAAAATATTATGGTGCATATGCAAAATGAATCTTTTTAGCAAAACATTTTTTCTCCTCTCTTATTAAGTATGATGCACAAAATGTTTCGAACTCAAGTTTCTCTTATCTATAAAATGTTAAGTTTTGTTTTGTTAAACTATAGCTCATAGTATATACGGGAAAAAGTTTGCACAGAAATGAACCGTAGCTTTAATGAAGTTTTCACGCCTTCTTTTCTATAGAAAAACTGAGTGGATTCTCTCCAGCAATTTTTAATGCACGGTGCAGAGCCAATTGCGTACTGGTATTTTCGTTATTTGCTTTAACCGTCAGCGTAGAAATTTAATAACTTTTCCTGAAACAAAGAAATCTATTTGGTATGTCTCATGAGATTATTTGGGCTTTTCTTTGTTATTTGGTTGAGAATCAATTTTAGCAAAATATTAGGTAATTGCTGTTTTTTTGTGATACGCTTTGATTAAAACCCACTGCAGCATCTATTGGCCCATTCTTATAAATGAGTATTGTGCTTTTGGATAAGAAGTGCAAAAAGTAACCATAGATTTTTAGAAGTACAAGCACACCATTGTTTCTGTAATATTAATATGTTTTATCCAGCTACCTTCGTTTAAGTTTTGTGTGAGCGATTCATATCAAAATGAAACTGGTTATCACCCCACACACACACATAATATATATATATATATATATATATATATATATATATATATTTATATATATATTATATATTTATATATATATAACAACACTGCGCTAGCCAAGGATTCGAACCCATGTTGTGGTTCTCGCTTACCATGAGGCAGGCCAGTACAACATAGGTTCGAATCCATGGATAGCGCAGTGATGTTATTGATCAATACCACTCGTTCGTGGTTACAGTAATATATATATATATATATATAATATATATATATATATATATATATATATATATATATATATATATATATATATTATAATATATATATATATATATATTTTATATTGATCAATACAACACTGCACTAACCAAGAAGTCGAACTCATGCTGTTTTGGCCCGACTAATTGTGAGAGAAAATGCATGACGCTTTGGACCACTAGACTACACAATCGTTAACAATGGTACATCCAACGAAGCTAGATGTTGTACCCACCATCGAAGGACATACGGTGGTGTGGACACCTCTGAGCTAATTTCATTCTACTCCCCGTTTGTGTACTAGCCCCAACAAGCATCCACACCATCGTATGTCCTTCGATGGTGGGTAAACATCTAGCTTCGCTGGATGCACCTTTGATAAGGATTGTTGGTCTAGTGGTCTATAGCGTCACGCGTTTTCCCTCACCCTGGCCCACCTCATGGTGAGGGAAAATCACATGACGCTCTAACACACTGGACCACTCAATCATGGAAGAATCATGCACCCAGCAGAGCTAGGTATTTTACGGTGATCCCAGGACATACGGTGGTGTGGGTGCCTCTGAGGTAATTCATTTTCCTCCCCGTTTGGTTTAACTAGCCTCCAATAGCAGTGTATGTATTATTGTAAGCACGAGCGAGTGGTATTGAATCAATAAAAATACTGCGACTAGCCGAGGACTCGAACCCATGTCGTTTTTGCCCCCCTCATGGTGAGCAAAATCACATGACGTGCGAGAGAAACACTGAGTGATGAATATATGATGGTGCCCCACTATAAGGTTTTCTACATAAGAGGTGTTGCATCTTCTACGTTATTGTGATTGTATTGCGAGGTGCTACTGTGACTGCACCAGTGTAACACTATAATGTCTAATAATGCAGAGGCGTTGATGTATAAAAGAGTATAATGACACTGATGTGGTGGCAGTGAGGGTTTTTAAAGTCAAGTCTCGTCTTGCTGCCTGAGAGCTGCCTGATGTAAAGTAAAGATAGTCCACATTAAACTCACCAGTTCGTGTAACCTTCGTGGAAGTACAACACTCGCTTCCCACAACTATGAAGGGATCGTGACATGCTGGTGATGCATCATCATGTTAAAGTAAAAACGTGAAATATATGTTAGAACATATACTGTATGACCGTTATGGGCTTAGCGCTTCCCCTTGAGTATAATAAAATAAGTGCTAGGGATGCATGAACTTCAAAGCACTCTGAGCGTTATCAGAGTTATACGAGTTATTTCACATATTTTCCGTTTTCATCACATTTTGGCGAGAATCATTAAATTTAAAAATTACGTAACCACCAAAAAATGGCAAACTATCAAATAAGCTTTCTCTCGTGACAAATTAACTGAGGCACTTGATAAAATACACGGATCTCACTCTATCTGTAAACCTATTGTACTCACCTTCGACTAAATTTTGGGGTTACGTAATTCTCCACCACTAGTGAGGAAACACTCTACATGTCCACTTTTTCCCGGGGTCTTCAACGCTGACAGGTTGATGAAGATGCCGCACTGATTGTCTGTGAGATCCTCCGGTGCTCTCATCCCTGGGTGAAAGCCACTGGGGGACATCTTTACCTGTCAAGATTGTTGTGAAGGTATCAATTTACATCAACAGTGTAGTGTAGTCTTTACTAAACTAATGAGAAACTCTATAACCTGTAAGTAATTGTGGGAAGGACATACACCCTTATTTATTATTTACGGGGATAATGTACCGTCTGTTTATAGTCGCAAAATTCCTCACAACCTCTCAATACATATTTCTTTTAACTAATTTTGATACAACCATCATTATGCACCTAACCTGATATAAGGTTAGAACAAGAACCGTTTACTTTGTACACACATCACGCAGGATGATTTTCCTGTCATATCTATCACAGAGGTTTAGTTACATTCACGAGGTACGAAATTTATTAGCCAGAGATGAGAAACTTCAGTAGGGCGATGAGAATATTATCAAGTTATTCTACTTTTAGATTCAAAGATTACCTTCCAGCATGATGGACCTACTTTAACATTATTCAAAATTAGGGAAAGCGCCATCAATACAACAACAAACAACAACAAATAATAATAATAATAATTTAAAAATAATAATAATAATTTAAAAATAAAAATAATAATAATAATTTATTAGTAATTTTTTCTAAATGTCATATATTTACTCACAAATAAAGACAAAATTTAATTACATTTTTGTCTCAAATTATGAGACAATACAGCTGATAGTAGGTTGTGTGGGGACAAGTTTGTGTGGTCGACACAATTTGTAAAATAAAACGTCAGAAGTCAATACAAGATAGAACGGCTACACTGTTACATATATGTATTTGCATTGAAGCGAATATCTTTTCATGGGGAGTGTGTCTGAACATTCTTGTGTGTTGTTGATTCAAAGAATTGGAAGGGTACTCAAAACTCTTTCATCTCCCATTCGAGAGGCACTGTATTAGCATTACAGGTTTAGAGCTTCTCCATGAACATATTAAGCGGGAAAAAATAATTATAGCAACAACAAAAACAAAAAATATTATTATTTTTTGTAAACAAAGTTGCATACTCAAAGGCAAATTGTACAGTTACAAGCACAAAAAATCATAAGATTTATTTAATGTGTCAGCATTTGGATTGATCCCTGCAACACTTCACCATTTTAGCTGGACAGCTGAGAAAAATTATATACATTAAGGTCGAAAATTGGGAACAAGCTTTATAACAATCTGTGCCTTTACTGCAAACAATTTCATGAATCATGAGTGTTTAAAAAATGGATACATTGAGGATATCCATAATTTTGCGGCAGTTATGGTGATGACAGACAAGATTATGTACCCAAAATATGGGAGATTCAGTGCTGTCCTGTAGTCAGGAGGTATAGAAGGAAAGCTATCTGAATAACGGGGAGGATAAAAATGTATGGGATTGGGATTTGGAATTATTGGGAAATAAAGAAGCTAATTTCTCGACTAAAGAGGCTTACAACCACTTGTCAACGCTGATGATAACTAACACTGCTAGAGAGCTGGCTCTAGACTTTTTTTCTCTTGTAAAAGTTTAAAAGAAATAAATACATTTTCATCAACATATTCAAAGTCGTTGTTTTAACTAAACAGTGGAGTCCCAAAAATAAGTCAGTATTATCTTAATATCTGAATGTCATCCACACAGCTTGAACTCTGTGATTTTTAATAACATACTATAAACTTTATATTAACATTACATTCTATTTATATTATTTAATCGATGCAGCAAATATTTAAGGTCCTGGAAACTCCTCCCGTCTTCGTGGTCCCAGAAAAAAAGAATAAATTCTTGCTTGACTCCACAAGAGGAGGGTTAGCGATTCTCCTGGTGTTTACCTCACGTCAGCTGGTCGAAGATGAGGGAGGGTCTGCTGGGGCAAAGGGGGGCTATGTGGATAAAAACGTTTTCATGTTCAATGCACTCATGACATGTTTTTCATTGAGGTCATGTACACTTTTTGCTGCTAAACTGAAATTACTCACCTGACGCAGACCCCAACGATAACACAATTATCGTCAAACAGAAAAAACATGTTAACCATTTTCGAACTGCGTAGAAGTGCGGTTCAGTCAGCGTCAGTGGAGGTTATATACCTACTGGCGCTCCGCTGCTGACTGCCAGGTGTTACTTATTCTTTGCGTGGAGGGCAGACCGATTAAAAGTTTTTAGGTGTTCCACCCGAAATGCTAATTTATCGCGGTAGCGCAAAAAAACAGGATTACGGAGGTCACTCCGGGTTTTTGATAGACCCCAACTGGGCACTGTTACATCACCAAAAAGAAATATTAGTCACTTCATATTTTACAGTCTTTCATGTAGTTAATTTACACAGTACAGTAATGGAATACAGTCCCATAACAAACAAGAAAAAAAAATACCCTTTTACGCAGTATGGTTCAGGACGAGGTGTCCCACGGGAGAAGCTAGTTTGAAAAAACACTTGTTACATGATTGGTTTGGTTGCAACTGCCATTAGCTTCCCAAACAGAGACTTTAATGATTTAAAATCAATGGTTGGAGATACGTCTTCAGAATAGGTACCCAGTGTTGCAAATGCGTCATATTCATCAACTTATTGATATTAAATACCATTATGAATAACAAAAAAGGCGCAATACCGTGACTGGAACGGTACACAAATAACCCGCACATAAAAGGGGAGAAGCTTACGACGACGTTTCGGTCCGACTTTGGGCCATTTACAAAGTCACACTTACCAGAAGTGGAGCAGGACGGCTATATATAGGCAGGAAGAGGTGGTGGTGGTAGGGATAGTAGTAGTAGTAGTAGTAGTAGTAGTAGTAGTAGTAGTAGTAGTAGTAGTAGTAGTAGAGGTAGTAGTAGTGGTAGTAGTGTGGAATAAGGAGGAGGAGCCCGTCAAATCGAAGGAAGGGGAGCACTGCTAGGGAGCTAGGTGCCCACTTTCCCTTTCACCCACCCCTGTGCGCTTGCTCTCCCCCTGTGGGCCCTAGTTCTAAATACTACTACTCTACTACTACTACTACTACTACTACTACTACTACCACCACCACCACCACCTCATCCTGCCTATATATAGCCCTCCTGCTCCACTTCTGGTTAGTGTGACTTTGTAAATGGTCCAAGTCGGACCCCAAACGTCGTCGTAAACTTCTCTCTTTTATGTGCGTGTTATTTGTGTATATACCATTACTGCTTTGTTACTTGTCTCTAGGTATACAAGGTATACGAGATGCCTAAGAGAACTAAGTTTGCTGTTGCCCCTATATTTAGACGCACGGGGAGCCAGGACTATAAATCAACTCCTGCAACCCAATTAGGTGAGTAAACACACACACACACACTAAAAATAATATGAACACCTCTTTTGGTTGTCGAACTGTCGACCTACAAACCCGGAATCCCGATAACCAATTTAAGTTTTACAGGTTCCTTTTTTTTGGGGTTTCTTTTAAACACCCCTTTATACTTTTCAGAACAAAGCAAAAAAAAAAACGAAAGACGTCACAGACTTCAGGAGGCCATTGTTGGAGCGCGGAGTCCTGGAGCATCGGTCCCAAAAACTGCTGAAACTCCATGTTTAAGAGTAATTGTCTTAGGGCGTCTGCTTTCCAAAAATGATAAAGACAAGCCCCAAACAAAAACAATAATGGAGGCAAAAAGAAGTGGGTACCGGGACCGTCGATTTTAAAGTGATTGCGTAAAAATGTATAAGACTATAGATAAAAAAGTGACTACAGAGCTAAATCGATTTCAAAAAGGTTTAAATAATCCCTTTTCCTTTCAAAAGGAAATACTGCAAAGCGCAGGAATGGTAAAATGACCAAAAAAAATTGGAAAAAATTGGCCCAAGGAAAAAAAAACGTTTGTATTTCGAATATTTTCCCTTTGCGCTTTTCCCAACTTCTGGAGATTTTTTGTCTGGAGACAGAAAAAAAACTTTTTCATGAAGTATGGAGGCGAACCCGCGAGGGGATTTGGGGAAACGAATTGGGGAAAAATCTTTGGCCCGGTGTTAGTACGCATGGTAGGGCTAACGCAAGTTAATCCTGTTACAAAACTTTTCCTTTTGGGGCGCTATCTTCCAAGACGAAAAATACCCAATTCACTCCGCTGGCTTTCAAATGTCTGAAGGACATAAAAGTGAAGTAGAACATTTGGATTGGCCCAAAAAAACGCCAGCCCAAAAATTATCAAACTTTGTAGGGTCAATGGAAGGAAAGCAGGAACCGTTTTCCCTGATTGCTGGGGGGTTGCTTTGTGGCGGATTTCGCCGCCCTTTTTTGTCTCCCGAGTGGTTGGGTGTGTGATTTGCTTTTCCCGGAGCGCTGGTTTACTGGCATAAAGGGTGGGTATGGACGGGGTTTCCACGCTGCTTCTGCGTACTTGGGGGCTCGGGGTTTCCTCTCGGATAAAGGGGGGGAACTTGAGGCCCTTTCTGCCTTTGTGACTGTCCCCCCGCGTCCCCCCTTTTTTTTCCTTTCTTTTTTTTTTTAAAATAAAAAGAAAGGTCCCCCCCTATATGGGGTCTTTGTTCTGGATAACCCTCCCCCCCCCGGGCATTTTGTTC